AAGAGAGAGCAGAAAGAGAAAAAGAATAAGTTATATAGGTATGCGATGCATCATTTGCTGTATATAAACATTTGCCTGTAATAGGAGTATAGTAAATAAAGGATTGTATCAATATTTTAATGAAAATATATATTTTTATTTTCATATATGTATAACAGGAGTTGAATGCAAAAAAAAATTACACATACTCTGCAGCAAAATTCATTGTTTATTTTGTTATTAATATAAAAATTACAATACAATAAATACACTGCAACATAATTCAATATAATATTACAATATAAATTAAAATGTAATATTTATAAGTATTTAAAACTGCCAACATACATAACTTACTTTATGAAGATAAAAATAAATAACCAACAACTCGGATTATGTTGTAAATTTTCATTTTACTTTAAAATTCAGCATTTTTTCGTACATTACATATATTTAATAAGATTAACGTGAGGTTTTAAATATTTTAAAAATTAAAAAGGAAATTCATAATTGGGATTCGAACTCACAAACACCAGCGTATGAACTAAACACGTAAAGGATTTGCCAGTTAGACATCACACTAACGGATTTCAAAATTGGCAGTTATCGGTCAAACAGTGATTATTTTAAAATACTAAAGCCTAAAATAATAATTATAAACGTTTAATAAATAATACAAAACATATCACACAAATAATAATATAATACATATTATATATATATATATATATATATATATATATATATATATATTATTGTGATATTTAAAGTCTTAGTGTGCCAAGCAATTAATTAGCTAATTAATTAATTAATTAAAATCATTTAAATGATATGACTATGATTCTATCACACTTTATAATTCTCTTATCTCAGGGTTCTATTTGTTCTTCAATATCTATGCTATTACATGTGAAAGGTAAGGTCCAAAGAATACCGGAATAATAAAAAACATATAGGATCTAACATTATATATTAAAATAAAATAATGAAATAAAATTCACACTCAAAAATTTTCAATAAACAAAATCTCATATAATGATTCTCAAAATTTTGTTCTACGTACGTGAACCTTCAAAATTAATGGTACAAACAATATTAGTTGAAATCTCAAAATCCCAAATAATATTCTAAATTTCCTAATCAAAATATTTATTTCCTTTCTAAATTAAGTGTAAAAATTGTGTTATCAATAAAAGAAAAACTGCAGAAAACAAAACTATTTCTCTCTGATGATGAGTGGTACAAATCCTTGTTCCTTGTAGACTATATTATCTACTCTTAGCCGCTCCCTAGGTAATCAGCAATCTTACAACGAATTATTGCAAGTTTATCGTCCTTAATGATCTCCTTCAAATGCACGAATCGTTCAAATTATGCTAGCTTCTTCTTCTCTCAATAAACTGAATCTCTCGTTGGCCTGAGTGAAAAATGACTCTTGGAATATCTTTTCTTTACGATAAACTGAATCTCTCGTTGGCCTGAACAGTGACTCTTGGAATATAAGTAGAAAATATAACTTACAATCTTTTACTGGATCAGCTTCTGCCAGATACACTAACTACACGAAACCTCACAAACTTTCACTGCTACTGCTTCCTACCTCTGGGAAACTACCCGAGAACAACGGCCGTTCCTTGCACCCTTGGAAACCAACTGACTATCTTTTTTTCTTCAAAAACTAATTAAAGTCTCATTCTCAAATCAAACCTCTCAACTTTTCCAATCTCATCCAATCAAAACGCGTCATACCTCTCCCATTTCTTCATTTCGATAACACACAAATTTTTACCTACAATTATAAAATTTCCTAAAACTTGTTTATAAAATAATATTATCCTACCAATTCTTAAAAACTAACAAAAACATATCTTTCTAAAATCTATTCTATTGTCCTAATCACTGCACTAATATATTTGGAAAACCCGGTTCAATTGTCTTAAGTTCGCTCACCTCATTCAAATATATTTTAACAAAGAAAATAATTTAGCATAGCTTACGTTTTGTTCAATATAGGTAATCCAAAGATAAAAGGACTTTCATTCTTCGAAATGTTTGTCGTTTATTGATTCGACCTATCTGAATTATTTTAATTATTTGAGCTTTGAAATATTTTTAAACAAACCGATATTTTCTTGATTTTACATATCATAACAATATATATATATATATATATATATATATATATATATATCTATATATATATATATATATATATATATATATATATATATATATATATATATATATAATAATTTATATAATATTATATATAAATATATATATATACATATATATATATATATATATATATATATATATATATATAATAATTTATATAATATTATATATAAATATATATATATATACATATATATATATATATATATATATATATATATATATATATATATATATAATATTAAATATAAATACGAAAGGAACATTTTTATTCTCGAGAGAGCAAGAGAGAGAAAATATATCGTCTGTCTTTCTCTTATTCATTATCTTACATAATATGTATACTTCTTCTAATTTACATACCGATGCACGTCGTCGGCGTTCTAGCTCATGACGTCACATGATACCAACACGGAATATTTAGGCGGTAGGGGTGTTATTTTTTAGAATAAATTTGCCGAGTACACTGGCATTACAACCACTAGACATATTTAGAAATAATATTTAAATATTTCTATTAATGTTAACTTAAAGAAATCTAGGCGCGCTGCTAACAAAAGTCGCAGTGGCCATGATGATTTCCAATCTCCGCTAGGAGTGGCACGAGAAGAAGAAGAAAGAAATACACAATATGTTTCATTTAATTTGTATAAATGCATTATAAAGCGTTTTTATAAAGAACATTTGTTAGGAACATACTGTAACTGTAATCGAACGAAGGTGCAATTTTGGCATAAATTGGTAACACTTATTTGACAGTTGCGGTGTTGACACTTTTTGTACTTTATTATTTTGAATTTTAAAGTGAATACCTCTTGTTTTACATTTTTACCTATTTAATAAAATATGTGCTTTTTAAAACAAAATTAGTGTGTTTCATTTTAAAAATGTCACGTAAGAATTTAAATAGTCGTTGTCAAGAGATGGTAATACTTTTGCAATATTTATGTGACCTATTTGAGTAAAAATGGAGTCAGGATTTTTTTTTACTTTGGCGACTATGTCAACTTCGATCTCTGTCAATAATAATGACGTGCATCGGTAAGTAAATTAAATAAAGTATAATGGTTTCACAGATTCACTTCCATGCAAATTTCCAACGCCGACCGTGCGTATAGAAGTATAACTTCAAAAAGATAAGAGTTCAGATTTAATTTCACGTATAGTGCCTCTGTATATTCGCTTATACGTATTTCATCCTAACAGGACTCATTAGAACGACTGCAACAGAAGCTCTGAATATGAAAACAATCTTTGTACTTAAAAATAGAAATCCGAAGATTTCTCTTGACGAAACCAAAATCCAGACTTTTGCTTTAATATGTGCCTTCTAAGAGTTGCAAGGCAAAACAGACGATGCTAAAGATTAAAAGATTTAAATAGCTCTTTAGCTATGTGTTAGTTTCTAGTTAAGATCTAAAAATAAATATTTAAACTATAATCTATACCAGTTTACCGTGGAAGTGACATATATTCTGACCACCATCCGGTAGTTGGAACAATTCGAACACTGAATGTATTTGCTACAAGAAGAAAGATCTTTACTAAAGCCACTTAAATGAATATCTAAAACAGCAAGCTTAGAAATAAGACATACGTTTTAAAGGAGACAATTGGAGAACATGGATTGATAAAACAGGATAGACGCTGACAATACCGTGCTGATTTCAGATGGTCCCCAGAGCGGTGAAGAAGCCGAAGAGTTGTTAAGTACTTTAAATTTTACATCAACTCATGAGATCTATAAAATTTATCACTTCAACTAATCTTTAGGTGTAGATTTTCCATTGTTAGAGCCTAATCTTCAAAACCTATATAATGAAATTTTGAGTTTTAGCAACATATATTCTCCTTCTTGATGTGCCTATCCGTTACGAATGTTGGCATTCATCATGGAAATCTTTATCTTATCTGTTAAAAGTTGCACAGATGTTGTATTAAAACAGATTCTGAGGTTTTTTAACCAACATGTTCTTCTTCTTTTTGGACCTCGCTTTCCAAATATTTTTTTTGCAGGATAGCTTGAAGGAAAGCATATCTGGATTCATTTCGCACAATATGTCCGTAAAATTGCAATTTTTTAGATTTAATGGTGGTCAGTACCTCTCGGTTCTTATTCATTTTTCTGGGGACCTCCTCATTTGTGACTCAGTCAGTCCACGGGATATTAAGTATTCTCCGATTTAGCCACATCTCAAATGCTTTCAGATTTTTGCACATAATATCTTCGTTAAAGAACCATAATTCAACTCCATCAAAAAGGACATAGAAGACGTAGCATCGCAGCATTCTTACTTTTGTATCAAGAGAGAGGTTGTGACTCTTGAAGAAGGCCCCCATCCGATTAAAGGTGGATCTAGCTTTTCCGATGCAGATCGGAAAACTATTTCTACAGAGAATTGGTTGACGCAACATATATAGGCCATTTGAATTATCCCCAAAAAATACTGAATTTAAATTCGTGTTTTGAGAAAAGAGATCCTTGTGTTGATGTCAGTTATTTACATAAGAAAAACTTCTCAGACTTTCATCTTTGTTATTTCTTCTTTATATACTGAAACTAAATCTCTACTTATTACTGATTTATGCAATTACATTTGTTCAGTATGGTACTAAACCGCATATAGACACACTTATTTAAATTTATACTTCATAATCCACCGCCTTTGTATATAGCGCCATCATATTCAACGCTTCAAAGAAGACGAATCTCCCTGTATATTTCTTCATATCCTTCACTCCTTTCCTTAAAATTATTACAGCTATTTCTTTAACAGACGAACGTGGCAAGAACTTGCACTTTCTACGTCCTCGAATGTGAGAACAGTTAGCCAACAACTTTCAGTTTCGTTGGAACTTCAGTACATATTAACTCTTCTACCACGTCACTTTTAAGATGAAATTTTTAGTTTTTGTCTGTGTTTGTATAGCGGCTGCAAGTATGTATTACTTTTATTAAACATTTTACCTCATATATTAAATAAATATGAAGACTAATACTTAGATATAATGTATATTGTATACTAACGGTGGTTCTCTTGAATTCAATTGTTAAAAGTTTTTAAAACCGATGTAGCAACCATTATTATATTCTTAAATATTTCATTTGTAAATTTTTTTAAGATTTAGCTACCTTTTTTTCTCATATATAAGGACAGATATGCCTAAAATTCATTTTTGTCCTACTATTGATTGCATAATTCATAATTCCAAAAAGAAAATGGTGTAATAACTGTAAACGACGCCGACGTTTGATCGTTTTTTTATTGATGAATATAGAACGGAAGAAATAATATATGTTTGGGGAATAAATATTACTTACATCGTTATCAACACAATTTTGTTAAACTTCTCATACTAACTTTATATGTTTTGAGATCACAAAAATGATGTTAAAATGCATTATCCTCAACAACGCACAATTTCAAAACGTGGCTTATCGTCCATTAAATTAAAAAACTATATACTAAAAGTTTTTTGGGTATAGGGGGTATAATGTCACTTTATTAATATGTATTATTATGTTAGAATCACTCTTCAATTTCGCAGATCCAAAAAATGAGATCAGGCTAAAATTAATAATGTTTTTCTAACGGTAAATATTAAATTAGGGCAATTTTAAAATGTATTTGTTCATCAAGATGACCATCCATACCTTCTTTAATAGATTATTAGTTTGTAGCCTAGTTTGGTTATGCAAAAATCATCGATTTCACGTCAAAATTTTTGGCAGATATCTGAAGCTTTTAAGACATAGGTGCAGGTTACTAGATGACGAACAGATGAAAAAGTACTAGTATTTTAACCTTGCGTTTTTTTTTAACAATAATTTTTTTCCCTTATTTTTTACATAAACCATATTTATATCATTTTTTATATGAAGAATATCTTTATTTTCCCTTTTTTAAATTAAATTTGATAAATATTTTACGAAGATATTTGCAAAAAAGCATTTTTTGCACTAATTTATAAATTTTATTAAATTTTTTATTAACAAAATAAAATGTTATTAATACATTTAAACATCGAGGAATTACCGTCTTTTAAATTTGTGCGAAATTACCCCCCCAGCGGTCAAATAGTTTAAAAGTTATTTAATTTATTTATCCCTGAGGCCAAATATTTAAAGTATTAAACTTGCTCTATTTATGACGCTAGAAACATTTAGCAAATTTCATAGGAGTCTTTAAGACTTAAACTGTCTCAGAAGTTAAATGCATATTTATTGCATTTTCATCTAAATTATTTACAAAATAAACGTTTGAAAAAAGGGGTACGGTTTTTACTTATAAACAATTGTAATAACATCTATATTTTTGAAGCTACAGACTTGTACTTACAACCATTGGATACCTGATAAAAAAACTAACATTTAAAAAAACCTTCTATGACCAATAGGAACGAAGTTAGGGACTATCTTTAAAAAAATCCTATCTCCATTGTTTATAAACATTAAGAAGTAAAATTTGCACAAATTTTTAACGAAAATCTAAACTTTATATTGAAACTTATAGCTATAAAATTCATCCAATTTTTCGAAACTTACAGCCCTTCGAAACAAACGTACTGTCGAAAGATCGACATAGGAAAGTGGAGGGGATAGCTCAAATTGAAACACGTAGGAAAAATTTGCAGCTATAAAGCCTCTTTTTTTTAATCTGAGATAGCTCGTCGAAATATGAATCACTACATAGTTTTCTCTGGCCGGGAAATATGGGAAACCTCGGATAAATTGAGTGCATTTGAACTTCCTCGTAAAAACTGACGTTATTTTAAATTGGGCTGGAATAGTTCACAGTATTAACAATAATGACATAATTTTCACCCCCCTGCCCCACACATCGGAATATCAACATGTTTTTTTTCATTTTATATCAATGATGTAATAATATTTATATATTTTAGGAATTAAATTTTAGGTAATTTTTTACACATTATATTATTATATTCCTTATATTAATTATAATTATTTACTACTTTGACTATCTATATGTTTATATACCGGAAAATAAAGATATTTTTATTAAAAAAAATGATATAAGGTCATTAGGGGTAATGAAGGACACTTACCTCAATTTCAAATATATTAAGATATTTTCGTAACAATTAGTGTGATTAAATTTTTCTTATATTTTTATGTGATCGAAGAGGGATAATCCTTCAAGAAATTATGACTTTCAACATATATTTGTGTAAAGCAAGTATTATACTCTATAATTATTTTTAAATTTTAAGTCAGATGTCCTCATTTGCCCCAATGTGCGGGGTAAATGAAGACTGCAATTATTTCCCAATTTAACTTCTTCTTCTTCACGTGCCATCTTTTCTAAGAAGGTTGGCAACCGTCATGGCAATTCGCACTTTCGACGCCGCTGCTCTAAAGAGGTCAGCAGAAGTGTAGTTAGACCAAGCTCTCAAATTTATATTCTTCCCTGCATTATTAATTGCAACAAGTTATAACGCTCGCCTCTCATAACATGTCCCAGATATTGCAGTTTTCTGACTTTAACTGTATTTAAGACCTCTTTATCTTTACCCATTCTTCTCAACACCTCGACATTCGCGACTCTATCTTTCTATCGAATCTATTTAATCAGCCTTAAACGCCCACTCTTGGGCATAGGCCTTCCCTGTTAATCTCCATTGGTCTCTATTTTGGGCGATCTGCAACCAGTCCTTTTCTGCCGTTCTCTTAAGGTCGTCAGTCCATCTCATCTGTGGTGTTTTTCTTTTTCTTTTCTTTTCCCATGGTCTCAAGTGTAGAATTCGCTTATTCCATCTTTTATCTTTTTGCCGGAGAGTATGACTGGCGAAGTTCCATTTAAGTTTTGCAATCTGTCTTGATACATCGTTCACCTTTGTTTTTTCTCTGATCCATGAGTTTCTTTTCCTGTCTTTAAGACCGATACCCAGCATCAGTCTTTCCATTGCTCTTTGTGTTTTGAATATCCTGTCGATGTTCTCCTTTGTGAAAGTCCATGTTTGTAAGCCATATGTGATAACTCGTAAAATGCACTGATTGAATACTTTCGTTTGCATATATTAAGGGAACTTTTTATTTTTTAGAATATATCATAGTTTGCCAAATGAGGCCCATGCTAGTTTAGTTCTTCTTTTTATTTCTTCTGTTTGATTGTCCCTGTTCAGCTTTATTATCTGTCCTAGGTATATGTATTCTGCCACCTGCTCTAATTTATTCTGTTTGACTACTATTTCTAATTGGTCTTCTTGGTTTCTCATAGTCTTGGTTTTACTATAGTTCATCTCTAGACCTACCTCTGTCGCTTTTCTATCTAGTTCCTTGACCATCTTTTGTAACTCTTCCTTCTTATCTGTTATCAGGACTATATCGTCTGCATATCTCAAGTGGTTCAAGAGCTCTCCATTTATTCTTATTTCGTATGTATCCCATTCTAATTTTTTAAATATGTCTTCCATAGCCTGATTAACAATTTTGCTGATATTGTGTCTCCCTGCCTGATTCCTCTTTCGAATTTTATTGGTTCTGTAGCGTGTTTGTTCGTCAATTTTATTGTGGTACTCGCATTTTTGTATATGTTTGTTATTAGGTCCGTGTACCTCCGTGTACCTGTTGTAATCAATTCTGCCGTTCTGTAGTGAGTTTTTGATGGCCCAATATTCTATGCTGTCAAACGCATTTCGGAAGTCTATGAATGCCATTTATAATGGGATTTGATACTCGTTCGACTTCTCAATCAGTATTTTTACTGTTAGCAGATAGTCGCTAGTACTAAAACCTGTTCTGAATCCCGCTTGTTCTCTTGCTTGGTATTCGTCAAGCTTAGTTGTTAGTCTATTTGTCATGATCTTCGTTAGTAGTTTAAATACAACACTTAGTAATGTTATAGGTCTGTAGTTTTCTAAGTTCTTTCGGTCACCTTTTTTGAACATTAATAGTGTCTCTGCATCGTTCCAGCTTTTGGGTATTTCTTTTGTGGTCAATATTTTGTTCATGAGGATATGTAGGACTTCTATAGTTGCTTTCCCTCCTCTCTTCAGCATCTCTGCAGTTATTCCATCTTTTCCAGGTGACTTATGGTTTTTTAATTCTTTAATTGCTTTCTTGATTTCATATTATTATTTGTTTGATATCATGAAAAGTGGAAGTGGAGGTGGGCTGGACATGTTGCTAGAATGGAAGACGGAAGATGGACGAAGAAATTATTTGAGTGAAGACCAAGAGCCGACAAGCGAAGTCGAGGCAGACCACCCACCCGATGGACCGACGACCTAAAGAGAATAGAAACAAACTGGATTGCAGCAGCTAGAGATAAAGAGAACTGGAGACGTTTGGAGGAGGCCTATATCCAACAATGGATGTGAAAATTCGGCTGGATGATGATGATGATGATGATCATGAATGAGTTTTACCGAGTCGTTGTTTTAAGCATTTTATATTTTTGTTCTGCTGGATTACTCTTTCAATCGTGGCTTCCTGCGTTTTTCTCTTGGTTTCTTTTATATTTTTTCTAATTGTTTTATTGATTTCAGTATATTCTACTGTGTTTCTTTTGCCCTGTTCAAGTAGGCTTCTTCTTGTCTTCATCAGGTTTTCTACTTGTTCTGAGATGTAATTGTCCTTTTTTGTCGTCGATTTTTCAATTCTTTCCCCAGCCTGTAGCAATGTAGTTGTTAGTATTTCATTTATTTCGTTTGTTTCTTTATTTATTAAGTCGGTTGTATTTAGGATGCATTTTTTTATTTCTTCTTTGTACTTTTCTTCGTTTTGGCTAAGTTTCTCCATATCTAGTTTTTGTACGTTTTTGATTTTCTTTCTGGTTTCAAATTGGCTGTTAATTTGTATCTTAGCCTTCACCATTCGGTGATCGCTGCCTGTTGTAAAACGGTTTAGCACTGTGACATCCTTGACTACGTATTTTTGTGTTGATAATATGTAGTCGATCTCGTTCTTAGTTTT